GTGCTGGTAATCACATCTTTTACTGGAATGCTTTTGTTATACCTTTTGTGAAGGACCTAGTCCTCCAGTTGCTGGGGGTGCTGCCAGCTGTCAGCCTTGTCCGGAAATTGGCTTCTGCTGAGGAAAGAAGCCTTACATAAGGTCAAGCGTTCTTCCCAGGGGAAGTTCCTGTCCAATAATTGGTCAATGGGATTAAGCCCAGCCCACTCACCTTCACTCCGAAGGTCCATCCAAACTTTAGATCTTCTGTGGAGTGGACATTTGTTGTAACTCCATCTCAGTCTCACTGCCCCTGCCTAAACCTGTCTTCCTTCCTTCTCCCTGTTAATCCTGAGATGACTCCCTAATAAACGTCCTACATTCTTATCTCCATCTCGACAGTCTGCATTCCTTGGAACCCAAGCTTTTATACACACGCATACACATCGTCTAAATTGGTAAACTTATTATCAGACTTTACAACACTAATAAGTTAGAACAATCATGGAATTATTTCAATCAACATTAAAAGACAATTTTCCAAATTTATACCTCAGATAAAAGGCTTTAATGAAACAAGGTTAAACATAGTGCACATTGAGTTTAAAATAAACTAATTGATTAAATGGTGAAAACCAGCATCAGTGTTAATGGTAAGATATTAGATGCTCTAAAATTAAAACAAAAAATAAAAGTACAACATTAGCTCACTTTTTAAAGGTAACAGCCAATGTAATTATACAAGAGAAAGCAATAAAGGGTATATTCTTGGAAATAGGGGGGTAAAATATCATTACTTGCAACTAATGATGATAAACCTAGAAACCTCAAGATAATTGAAAGGAAATAAAAAACTATTTTTCTACATGAATAAAGACATAATACTCTAATGACGGACACAGAAACTGCCAGACATTTTCCCAAAATGTTGTGACATTTTACACTCTCACCAACAATGTAGAGTTCTGGTTGTTCCACATCCTCACTTGCTGTCTGTTTGTATTTTTTATTTTTTCCTCCAGCTTTATTGAGTTATAATTGACAGATAAAACCATACATATTTAAAGTGTACAACATGATGATTTGATATATGTAAACTTTGTGAAATGATTATCACAATCAAATTAATGAACACATCCATCCCCTCACAGAGTCACCTTATTTGTGTGTGCGGTGAGAACAGGTAAGCTCTGCTGACTTAGCAAATTTCAAGTATGCAGTACATATTAGAACTATAGTCACCCTGCTGTTCATTACATCCCCAGAACTTATTCACCTTATAACTGAAAGCTTTTACCCTTCCACCAGCATCTCCCCATCTCCCTAAACCCCCAGCCCCTGGTAATCACCATTCTACTCTCAATTTCCCTAAGTTCCACTTTTTTGAGGGATCCCACATATAAGTGAGATTATACAGTATTTGTCTTTGTCTGACTTATTTCACTTAGCATAATGTCCTAAGTTTCACTAATGTTGTTGCAAATGGCAGGATTTCCTTTTTTCTCATGGCTGAATAATATTCCATTATTTATACCTACCACATCTTCTTTACCAACCCATCCATTGACAGATGCTTAGATTGTTTCCATATCTTGGCTATTGTGAATAATGCTGCAATGAACATGGGAGGGCAGGTATCTCAAGATACTGATTTCATTTCCCTTGCATGTATACCCAGGAGAGGGATTGCTGGATCATATGGTAGTCCTACTTTTAATTTTTTGAGGAAACTCCATCTTGTTTTCCATAGTGGGTGTACCAATTTACATTCCCACCAACAGTGTGAATTCTCCACATCCTCGCCAACACTTGTTATCTCTTGTCTTTTTGATAATATCTCTTGTCTTTTGTCATACCTAACAGGTGTGAAGTGATTTGATTTGCATTCCTCTGATAATTAGTGATGTTGAGCACCTTGTCATGTACCTGTAGGTTATTTGTATCTCTTCTTTGGAAAAATATCTATTCAGATCCTTTGCCCGGCTTTTAATTAGGTTATTTGTTGGGATACTTATATTATCCAGTAGCTTTCTTTTATACACCAAAAATATTATTTTGGTATTCAGAAAAGCAATGTTTTAAGTTTTTTGTATTCTAAAATGATAGTTTTTCTTATAGATAGGTGCTTTACTGAATTTTGAATAAAATTTAGAAAATTGGTGGGCTTTGGATTTGATGTATATTGTGTTATATTTGTTTTACATATAAAACAATGGGAAGTAGGTCCTTGTGAGTATTTTGACACAGAATATTTTCTCTTTAGGAACAGATTACTGATATTAAGCAGGAGTGGCCCCTATTGTATTTTTCTTTAAGCACACTTAAGAGACAGTAAAGAATCTGGAAGAATACAAAACAAAGTGATAATCGTGTGTGACAAGCTGGTAGTGTTCACCCAGGTCCCATAGCTCCATGGCATCTCCCAGCCTCCCTTATCGTGAGGTCAGGGCCTTGTGATTACTCCTCATCAGTGGTCTGGGAGAGAAAGGACATGCGTCACTATTATTCTGGGATAGTTAAAGGCAATATAAGTTTCATAGTCTCCTTCCCTCTGCTGTGGTGATTGTCATATAAATAAGGCAAAGAGCATTTGAGTGATTTCAACTTTAACTCTTGGGTTGTTCTTCCTGAATGTAGACGCTCCAGACTGTTATTGTAGACACTGCCTAGATCATTGCTCTCAGAGGCATGTTCCCTGAAATCACAGAGCTGGACAAGAAAGAAAGGCAAGGAAGCCCGGAAGCCATGAGTGAGTTATTTCAAGATGCTTTGATGGTTAAAGACTGTTACTCTCGGTCTGATTCGGACAACATGGGCTTCTCTCGGGATCTCCTTTCTCTATCCTTCTTCCTCCGCACGGTGCCCTGTCAGAGGTGTCCTCTCCACCCGCCATGCTCTTTCTCCTTCCCCAATGACGCTCGCCTTCAGAGCGGTCACTGCCACCAGCATGAGTGAGGTTAGCCTTCTCAGGGGGGCCCTTGCATCTAGGCAAACTTGTAATCGTGAGGACACAGCTGGATGAGAAGTAATCAAACCTACCGCTTCCCTGCCTTTCTCTCCTGTCCACTTGAAATCATTCAAACTAGTTTTTCACCATTAACAAGAAAAGACAGGCGGTCCACATGATAGGAAATAACTACTGATTACATTAACCCATTTTTAGGGGCTGGCTGGTGGCACAAGCAGTTAAGTGCACGCGCTCCCCCGAGTTGGCCAGGGGTTTGCAGGTTCAGATCCAGGGCGCACACACACGCACTCCTTGTCAAGCCATGCTGTGGCGGCGTCGCATATAAAGTGGAGGAAGATGGGCACGGATGTTAGCTCAGGGCCAGTCTTCCTCAGCAAAAAGAGGAGGATTGGCAGTTGTTAGCTCAGGGCTGATCTTCCTCACAAAAAAAAAAATAGCTACATTTTCCCATTTTAATTGTTTATTTTGTGTATGTGGCATAAGTGAGAATTTCAGACACAGGCACATGGTGCAGCTCTTTTGCGGGAGGAAGCTCAGCGGAGATTACAGAGAGGAAGAAGACAGACTGGGGTTTTTGTTTTATTTTCTTTTTCTCTTCAAGCTGAGCCGGCAAGTCACAGGTTTGAACCGGGAGCCATCTGTTTCTTTGGCCAGTAAATAGGTAAGCCCACATTCATGAGAAGTTCTGCAGTGTTGATTTCTAGTTCCCAGGCTTTCTTTGAAAATAAATGTTTAAGAGCAAATTTGCTCTGTTTTAAGGGAAACAATTTAGAGTGACTGCCTTTGGCTTAAGGGAAGCCAGTTCACAGGAACCGTGAACTTCATGTTGTTTAGTTTACACATTACTGGCAAAGAGAGTTTCCTTAGCAAAAAGCCAATGAAAAGTGCTAACTGGGAAGAATTTGGGTATTATCATGTGGTTGTCGGTTTTCTGTGCCTTGTCACTTTGGTATATGCTGCCGGATTGAAGCAAGAGAAAAAACTGTCTGATGAACAGTTCTTGCTGCTTCTCACTGCACAGGAAAGGGAACGAGTTCACAGGGCTCCTTCCTGGTGGCGGATGAGGAAGAAAGAAAATTCAAGTAATTGACAGATCAAATGAAGTGTATTTCAGGCTTAAAGGACAGTGTGCTTTTCCAGAGTCCTGCTCCTAATTCATTGAGTGTCTCTGCAAGGACCCAAATGAAGGCAGGGGGTTTGGAGAGAGCGGAGAAGTGAAAGGGAGGGAGCAAGTTGGGGAAAGGAGGCAAGAAGGAAGGAGGAGACGGAACCTCAGATGCAGGGAGGGTGACCTAGAGAGGAAGGGGAGAGAAGTAAGGGAGGCCCGTGAGAGGAAGGGAGGAGGGAAACAAGAGAAGAGGTGGGTGTGGAGATAAGAAGCAGGGGGCTTACAAACGAAACCCACTTCTCCACTCACCGGGGGACCCGGGGCAAGTGACTGGATTTCTCTGTAAACCGGGGATAGTAATTCTCCTTCCACCCACCTTGTCAGCTACGTGCAAACCAACGAAGCACGGTGGTGAAAGTGCTCTAGGAACACAAGGGCCTTTCATGATTCAAAACTAAAAAATAATTGTTTTTTCACTGGTCTGTGGTCTCTCTGTCCCTCAGGAGCAGCAATGGACAAACACGAATGCAGTCCCTCGGGTGAGAAAGTGACTTCCTGTGTGCCTATTTTTCCATATTCTCTGCCTATTGTACGTAAAAACCATGCTACCTCTCTAAGCAGAGGATAGGCCATCAGCTGTTTCTTCATTCAAGAAAGGAATTTTACACTGCTCACTCCAATATTTTCCTGGTCCAGCCAGTTCACTGGTGGTCATGACTGCACCTCTGCCCAACCAGGGTCAGAGGAGCCATCTCTGGCCTCAGAATAGAGTCAGGTTACTTAACCCACCTGGAGATGGAACCCACAGTCTTGGCCTCACATCTCTGATTTTCAGAAAATTTGTCTTTTAGAGGACCGGAACAGAGTGATTCAGGCAAGCCTTGCATGATGAGATATGTTTCTAAATCCATCTTGTCACCCACGTAAGTTTTCCTAGAATCCAGCATGGCAGTACTCTGCAGTCCTAGAGAAATCGAGATGTTTTAAAACCCATAATTAATTTATTTTGTTTGATAATGGAGTTAGCTTCTATTTCAAAAATACAACATATTGTGAAAGTATCGTTTCTCATAATATGAGAATAACTCCTTATCATTAAAAATATTCCATTGGCATGATCAGTAGAGTAATAACACAGTAAACTTCCTCTTAACAGGACCACGTGTGAAGAAGCAACATGCCAGAGGATCCCAGCTGAGGATCATTCTGGTGGGCAAAACAGGCACAGGAAAGAGTGCCACCGGGAACAGCATCCTGGGGAAACCAGCGTTTGAGTCGCGTCTGGGCGCCCAGACCTTGACTAAGACTTGCAGTGAGGGTCAGGGAAGCTGGGGCGAGAGGGAGATGGTCGTTATTGACACGCCAGATATGTTTTCTGGGAAGGACCACTCTGACTCCCTGTACAAAGAGGTACAGAGATGCTACTTGCTCTCTGCACCAGGACCCCACGTGCTGCTCCTGGTGACGCAGCTGGGCCGATTCACCACTCAGGACCAGCAGGCTTTGCAGAGGGTGAAGGAGATCTTTGGAGAGGATGCCATGAGACACACAATTGTCCTCTTCACGCACAAGGAGGACCTCGAGGGAGGCTCCTTGATGGATTACGTCCACGACTCAGACAACAAAGCCCTAAGCAAGCTGGTGGTGGCATGTGGGGGGCGAGTGTGTGCCTTTAATAACCGTGCTAAAGGGAGTGATCGGGACGGCCAAGTGAAGGAGCTAATGGACTTGATTGAGGACCTGGTGATGGAGAAAAGGGGTAATCACTATACCAACAGGCTGTACGGCCTAGTAACAGGGGGAGAATGTGGACCTGTGTGGTCAGAGGAAAGATTGAAGGATTTCAGAGAGAGTCTTATAAAGTACATGGAAGTTCAGAGACGTTACACAACCACGGCCAACGCAAATTGCCTAAAACGAGCCCTAATCAAAACACTAGTCTGCATTTTATTTTGTATTAAGTTGTTTGCCATATTGCTAATTCTGTTATTTTATGTATGGTACAGAATGTGCCACTTGTTTTATCGCTTACTTTTTACTATGTACAATTTGTTCCATAGCTTCCTGTTACTGTACTCCAAAAATTAATGATAATTTTCAGAAAGACCATTGGACTGGAATGCAAGATCCCTAGATTATAGTGACAGATCAGTAATTATTTATCCACTGTCATATGGTGGGGGAATCACGGGGCCTCCTCTGTAAAATGCAGTGCCTGACATCAGTAAATATGTGAGATTCTCTGAAGTGTTTATATCTTACCATCATTCTATTTATTAATGAACCAAATTATTTTAAAACTTACTATTTGTTTTGAAATAAAATAAAAAAATCTTTTGGAAGCTGCGTACATAAAATTCCTCTCATTTGCAAATCTGTAAAGCAAGTTTTATGTTCTTGGAAACTCCTTTTCTTCTTTATAATACTATTTCTACTGAATATAATAAAAATAACAATAAAATTTCTACTCAGTGTAATAAAATAACAATAAATAAGCTGAAAAGTTCTTGAGATCACTTATCTTTATTTCTGTTCTATGGTTTTATCCTCAGAAGGTGGTAAGTGGACACATGGCTCATTTACTCTATAACGGAACCAATTCAGGCCCAAGAACCACACACAGACACACCTACACATCAATGGTCTGTTTTATGTACATCTAATTCACTTAACACCAAAAGAGGCTCAGCCAGATTTGATTCCTGGCCCCAATCACATTAGGCAGTGAAACGCACATAGAGTCTTACACTTCAGACAAGATGGCGGACTGGATATTCTGAAGCATCACCCTGTTAAATGCAAATAGAAGCTGAATTTATCAAAATAAACAATCTTTATGATTGATGAGCGTACTAGAAAATAAGGAAAACTCCAAGGGTGAAGCAAACAATACACATAGAAAGAATGTGGAGCTAAAACTGGAGTTGCGAGCCGTGAGCAATAAGCAAACATGTAAGGCAGGGTTGACCAATAGACAAACACCCATATCAACCCTGAGATCAAGAAACTCAGCCCGGGGTTGTCAGCAAAGCTGGAGAGCTGATTCTGAGACTTCTCTGTTATGTTAGGACCTTCTCAGGGAACTAATATCACAAATTCCTTTTTTAACCAAATATGTAAGGCTGTTCTGATTTTTTATTTCTTCTTATGCTCATTTTGATTAAGTTATGCTTTTCAAGGAATTTTTCCGTTATATCAAAGTTGTTGAATTTATTTGCACAAACTCATAAAATCTTTTGATTATGCCTTTAATATGTACAGGAACTATAGTAATCTTTCCTCTTTGAATTCTAATATTGGTAATTCACGATTATTTCTTTTTGTTTGATCAGCTTGACTAGAGGTTTATCAACTTTATTAAACTTTACAAAAATCTAATTTTAATTTTCTCTATCATATTTTCTGTGTTCTATTGTATTGCATGTTCTTAATAATATTTTTTGCGGAGCAGAAGTTTATAATTTTAACGAAATGTAATTTATCAATTTTTTCTTTCATAGATCATGTTTTTGGTGTTGTATCTAAAAAGTCATCGCCAAACCCAAGATCACCTAGATTTTCTCCAATGTTATCTTTTAGGAGCTTTATAGTTTTGCCTTTAACATTGACATCTATGATTCATTTTTAGTTAATTTTTGTGAAAGTTTTTATTTTTTTTTGTGAGGAAGATCAGCCCTGAGCTAACATCCATGCCAATCCTCCTCTTTTTGCTGAGGAAGACTGGCCCTGAGCTAACATCTATTGCTGATCCTCCTCCTTTTTTTTTCCCTCCCCAAAGCCCCATTAGATAGTTCTATGTTATAGTTGCACATCCTGCTAGTTGCTGTATGTGGGATGCCACCTCAGCATGGCCAGACAAACGGTGCGTCGGTGTGCGCCCGGGATCTGAACCCAGGCCGCCAGTAGCAGAGCACACGCACTTAACTGCTAAGCTGGGGGGCCAGCCCCCTGTGAAAGTTTTAAAGTCTGTATCTAGATTCATTTTTTTTGCAGGTGGATGTCCAGCATCATGTTCTGGCACCATTTGTTGAAGAGACTATCCTTTCTCCATTGAATTATCTTTGCTCCTTGGTTAAAGATCAGTTACATATAATGTAACTACAGCTGTGCTTGGATTTAAGTCTGCCCTCTTGCTGCCGATTTCTATTTGCCTCATCTTTTCTTTGTTTCTCTTTTTTTCATTCTTTTGTATTAATTGAGTTTTTCAAAATTACTGCACTTTATCTCTTCTTTTGGCTTTTATTTTTTCAGTGGTTGCTCTAGGGACTAAAACATTTATCCTGAACTTAGTATTCTCTACCTTGAATTAAAATAGTGTGCCACTTCAAATAAAATATAAAAACATTACAAAATTTACTTTTATTTAGACCCTATCCTTCCTTTGTGATATTGTGATCATTTTCTTTACTTCTTCATATGTTAAAAAACTCACAATATGTTATGATTGTTTTGCTTTAGTCAATTTCATTTTTAAGAGACTAAACAATAATCAAAATAATAGTCTTTTCATATTTCCCACATATTTAAAATTTCCAGAAAGCTTTATTCTTTCCTGTTGACCCAAGTTTCTATCTGGTATCATCTCCCTTCAGCCTGAAGAATTTCTTTAACATTCCTGTAGTGTAAGCCTGGTAGGACAATCTCTCCCGTTCTCATTATCTTCAAATGTCTTTTTTTTATCTTCACTTTTGAAGGGTAGTTTTGCTGATTAAAGAAGTCTAGGTTGATCTTTTCTTTTTCTTCAGCAATTTAAGCACGTTCCAACGTTTTCTGCTTGCATTGTTTTTGATAAGAAAGTGGCTGTTGTTCTTATATTGTTCCCCTGTGGGTAATGTGTCTTTTATCCTCCTCTGGTTGATTTTAAATTTTTTTCTTTTTCTTTGGTTTTCTGTTGTTTGACTATAAAGTGCCTTGGTTTGTTTTTCTTTGTATTTCCTACTTAACACTGATTAAGATTTCTGGATTTATGAGTTGAAGCTTTTCATCAAATTTTAACATTTTTGGTCATTATATCCTCAACTATTTTTTTCTACCCAGTTCAGTCTTTTCTTCTCCTTCTTAGATTCTAATTACATTAGACTGCTTGATACTATCTCACTGATCACTAGTGCCATGTTCATTTATTTTGTTTCCTTTTTGTGCTTCAGTCTCAATAATTTCTCTTGACCTGTCTTCAAGTTAATAGATCCTTTCTTCAATGTCCAATGTGCTATTAGGCTCATCTAATTAAGTTTTTGTTTTTAATTTAAGATATTTTATTTTCTAGTTTCACATTTAGTTCTTCTTAGAATTTATATTTCTCTCATGAAATTCATCAACTCTTAACTCATTATATTTATTTTTCTATGAATTCTTTTTTTTTTTTTTTTTTTTTTTTTTTTTTAAAGATTTTATTTATTTTATTTTTTCCCTCCAAAGCCCCAGTAGATAGTTGTATGTCATAGCTGGACATCCCTCTAGTTGCTGCATGTGGGACTCGGCCTCAGGATGGACGGAGAAGTGGTGCCTCGATGCGCACCCGGGATCCGAACCCGGGCCACCAGCATTGCAGCG